TTTTTTTTTTTTTTTTTTTTTTTAACCTTACCTTTCCTCAAATCCCCACCATATGGTCCTTTCCCCAGGTCTAGATGGCCTTCCTGACTTTCCAGGTCTTCTCTTGAACCCCTTTTCCGGTCACCCCAAAGCGGCCCCACTCTCACACCTGTTCCGGAAACTCAGAGCTCCTCCCCTCTGCTAGTATCACTTTGGATTGTAATATCCTATTCAAGAACTTTTCCCCAGTATCTCCCCCCTGGATTGTCTGTCTGATCTACTTTTGTGAAGCAGATGTACTCTGTTCAAATATAGGAAACAAAAGGCCTATGGCCTTTCCGTGCTTGTTTCTTGGGTGACTGATCTTAGATCCTATCGCTTCATAGATGAATGTGTTTTTGCAAAAAGTGCTTACTTAGTGTAATACCTATTGCATGGGAAAGGGTAGCACTGTTGAACAGCTTCCTGATGACCAGACTTGACTCTCTTCATGCCCTTCATAGGCATTATCCTGAACATTCCAAGTCCCTTCAGGTGTTTGCCCACCTACATATTTTTCAAGTTTCTAATAAAAAATAAACTACACCGTGCGTTTAAAGGACCTGGCACAGTGCCTGACACAGAACAGCAACTTCACAGAGATGGCCACCTCTAACTTCAACACAGAATTCAACCCCGTGGCAGTTTGATGCCCCTAGTCCTGATACACCTTTGAGTTTGGCCCAAACACGTCTTTGTTCTGCTACCCTACCATGTCTCCAGACTTCCTCATAGTTGACTTTTCCTTGAGCCAGTTCTCATCTGATCCATTCTACTTGATTAGATAATGACCTAGAAATTTCATTTATCCTGGTTGCTAAATGTCATCTTCCAGATCGGAAATTCTGGTCATTTCAGAGGGTTCCCTTCTCCCCACCGTGAAGAACTCTAGCCTGTTAGTTTCCTGAACACACAGACCGTGATGGACTTACTCCTGCGGTCTTCATGCAGTCTCCTTACCAGCAGAGGCCCACCATGTGGCTTTTGGAACAAGTTTAGGACTAGACTTGATGCCTTCCCAATTACTTTTTTAAAATCTCTGTGCTCGGTTGTAGTGCCTGGGAATCTGGGAAATAGATGTGAAGTAAATGAGTTTCCATGTAGGAAGAAGTAAATGGGATGTGGCTTTTCCAGGATGACATCTGTTTCTGATCCCACTGGGATGTTGGCTTATTTTTTCTGCTCAGTGCCCCCCACCTCCAAGGAAACAATGCCCCTTTGATAATAATTTGCTCTCTGCCCGCCTGACGAGTATTCAGATGAGATTTCTCAGCCAACAAGACAGTGCAAACATTTGTGGTACCAAGCACCAATTTCTCGAAACCTCTAGGCTCACCGAAGTGATAATAACTGTCCTGCTCCAGGGTTTTTCCCTTTTCTCTCCTCACTCTTCCTCCTTCTCTTGATGTTATACAGGGATATCATGTCCATTTATAAGGAGCCTCCTCCAGGAATGTTCGTTGTACCTGATACTGTTGATATGACTAAGGTATGTAACTTGATGGGGAGGGGGCAGGGGAATTATTGTAAAATTAGACTCATAAAGTTGAAAGAACCTAAAACATTATTTAGCTTTCCTCTTGTAATAGAGATAGAATCAAAACCCCAAGAAAGTAAGTGGCTTGCCCAAAGTTGCACAGTGAGGAGCAGAATCTTAAGTAGGTCTGTTGTTAGGGTACTCACAGGTATTGTTGGGCTTGGGAAATCCTCAGATTGACAAGATGTGCCTCTTGTTCCAGCTTAGCTATTAACAGGCACTCTTTCCCTCTCAAATGCTCCACCCTCGGTGATAAATTATGGTCACCCTATCCATTGTACCCCCAAGCTCTTGTTCCATCTTAGCATCTTGATTTTTACTATGGTACTGTAAGTCAGGTGCAGGGAAAGCTGGGGATGTGGTCAAGGTTTGTGGTAAAGGATCCTTTTCTAGATCCTAGATTTGGAGTATCTCCCTCCCCCAGAGACCTGTCCTCTCTTGTCCTCTACACAGAACGCTTCCTACATAATGATCATATTTCTCTGGCGTATATATCTAGGCTTCTCTATCATTGAATGTTTTCAGAAGTGAATTTGGACATATGCTGTTGTTGGGAAGAAATCAGATTTCTTAAATCTAGTGTTTTAAGCAATAACTAATGAATTCAGATTTCCTAAAGTAAAAATTCAGCATTTATATTCTAATATACTTTTTTATTTTAAGTAGACTTTCTTTTAAATTGATCCCCCCTCCTATTTTTTGTTTTTTGTTTTCATGTGGTTGGAAATGTTTTTTCCTGGGACATGGTGTCTCCAGTCAAATGCTAGAGTAATATGCTAATCCCTGAGACCTTAGAATTGATGCCAATTGACTTTACTATTTTCAGAGTTTGCAGACTAGAATATAGCCTACTGTGTTGCCAGGACAAGGTAGGATTGTAGACTGAGGCATGGGAATGCAAGGTCCTTTCCCCTTTGGCTGTTATTCTGAGCATACTTAAGTCATTAGAAGCCTTTGAAAAAGAGGTAGAATTGAGCCAACTCAGGTTTGCTTCTCTTCTTGAAGGGAGATTATGTCCAATAATTACAACTTGTGGAGGAAGAGAACTTAATGTTATGTTTTAAGGAATACTGATCTATTTTTATTTTTTTTATATTTTTGTATATTTTTTATATTTATTTTTTATTTTTTTTGCAGCAGTGTTGCGGAGTTTTGGGGGATGGTTTGTTTTCCGTAAATGTACTACTGAGTTTTTCCATTTTTCTTTGTATCTCTGACCTGGAAGTGGTAGTTTTGATCCTCTGGAGGAAGCAAGCAGACACCCTATGTATCCATTGTAGTTGTCATTTCTGCACTGGTATTGGCGCTGGTGCTGTAACCTCCAATCCCTTTCTTCCATTCATCTTACTTCCCCTTCCTGTCATACAAACATAGAGTAGAATTGTGTCATAAGCATGATTAACCTTGGCAAATCCAAACATCTCAGTGAAAATATGTATTAATTTGTTAAACATAAGAAAATGCTATTTTACATGTTTGGGTTCCATTTGTTTTCCATACACCAATCAGCGAGGTCCGATAGGGGAAAAAAACAAAACAAAAACAAAACCCCAACCTTTAAGGTAATATTGACAAGGGTCATTTTTCACCTCAGGCTTTAACTTTTGACTATAACTCCAAGTGTGAGGTATGATGCTGTCCCACTATAGTGAGATTCACTTAATTTGAAGACCCACTTATGGGAGTGGGCTCCCAGGCAGTTCATTCTGTGTGGTGAGGACGTGGAATATGAACACCAGGCAATGCATGTTCTTGGTGGGGGTAGTAGGTGGAAGCCAGGAGGGGCTGTGGTGGGGCATCACCTCACAATTTTGAGATTTTGAGATGGGATTTTATTTTGCAGATTCATGCATTGATCACAGGCCCATTTGACACTCCTTATGAAGGGGGTTTCTTCCTGTTCGTCTTTCGGTGTCCACCCGACTACCCCATCCACCCACCTCGGGTCAAACTGATGACAACGGGCAATAACACAGTGAGGTTTAACCCCAACTTCTACCGCAATGGGAAAGTCTGCTTGAGTATTCTAGGGTAAGAGGAGACTTTTAAGTGGCCAAGTTGTTATTAGCAAATAATCACTTTAGAGCAGCCATCGTCAACTGGGGTACTTCAACTGAACCCACAGCATAAAAGTGGTCAACTCTTCACTTCTCAGGATGGTTCCTGACTGGTGTCATTATAGATGGAAAGGAGTAAAATCAAATTATTATATATAAGGAATGTCTTATGAAGTGGTCTACAAGTGTGGTCCCTGAGCTGCCACGGCAGTATCTGTATATTTGAAGGCCCCATTCTATGTGATGTGCCAGAAATTTTGGGGGCATGTCAGTGGTCTGCTTTTGGGACTGTGCAAGTGATTACGCTGTACACTCCTTTGAGAACTAGTCCCTTAGAACATTAGGGTCTTACTTTTTTCCATAAGGCTCTAGAATGACTCCAGGACTGTTGTATTCACGTAGTGGTGTCTGATTGGAGTCTCTGAATGGGTGCCTTTGGAGACGTTGGTGCTAATAATGATTATGATAAAATAATAATTGAATAAAAAAAGTCCGAGTTTGGAAATCGTAGCAGTTATGAAACAGGTATCAAGTATACTCCCTGGGTGCTACTAGGATGTTGCTTTGTGGAGTTTTTACTCATTCTGTATCAGTTGTCTTTGTGAGTTTAAAATTCAGAATGAAGAATGTCTTGTAGCATGTTTTAGATTGTTCTTTTGTGATCCAGAGTTCCTTAAGGTAGAGAATAAATATGGATTGGATATTAAGAAAGTCACCCAAACTGGTGATCCTGTTTCTTTCTTTCATCTAGTACATTTCTAGGTTTGTGTGAGAAAGGCAGCTAAAACATATTAGAGATCTGTTTCGTATTTTTCTAGAATTCTCAAATCTAAGGCTATGATATACTATTCTCTATACTGTTGATAGATGATAGTCTGGAAGTCTCTTTGAAGGAGAGTGCCCATAATAAGTCCTTCATCTTATTAGGCTACACAAGTGTCTCTGCTGGTGGGATTGGGTGTATGTGTGTGACCCTTGGTAATATGACAACTGAGTCTTGGGGTTGGTGTGAAATTTGTTCCTGAAAGTGTCAGTGAGCTAACATGAAGCCATACTTAAGAGCCATAAAAAGAGCAGGCAGAGAGTGGTGGTGGAGTGAAAGGGGCAGAAGTTTGTTGCATGGAAAAGACCCATCCAGAAATAGAAAACTTACAGTTAAGAATCCTGGAGTAGAAAAATTCTTAATATTTTTAGTTGGCTACATTAGCTTTATTGGCTTACTTCCTTCTCTTCATATCTAGAAAGAACCATTGAGCTGACTGGCTGCTGAAAGAAATGGAATGAGAGCTGACCCTGTTGACTTGAATTCCTGTCCATGTAAAGTGGGGAGTAGAAGGCAAAGTTGCTAGGGAACCACTGGGAGAGAGCAACCTGTGAAGTTAGTGTTCCACACCCCTGACTTGGGCCTTCCTTGAGTGTAGAGGAGAAAGGGCAGTGCTCAGTTAAATAAGCTAGTCTTGGCTCAGGTTGTGTTCTGCTTCTATCTCTCATGGTATCTTGTTTATTAATTGATCTAAAATAAATACCTACCATGCATGGTAGGGCCAGTCTCTGTAAGGCCAAGGCCAGTATGGTCTATGTACCAAGTTCTAGAACAGTTAGCACATTAGTGAGAGTGAGACCCTACCTCAAAAAAAAAAAAAAGGCACTAATGTCCAACTGACCCACTTCTTTAATGCCTGATGTGGATGTGGTTTAGTTAGGAGTGGTGTAGTGCATACCTGTAATCCCTAGAATTGAGGCAGAGACAGGAGGGTTGCTTTTAAGTTGGAGAATAGCCAGGGCTATTCTAAGACCCAGTCTAAAAAAAAGATTGTGTGGGATATTTTCCCTGGTATTCAACTTGTTCTCCACATTGTGAAAATGTACCACCTTCCTTTCTATGTTAGCAGAGTTTGTGTATCTTCAGAGAATTTATCCTGCTTGGCTTGTTACAGAACAGAGTCCCTGACCATGAACTTCAACGTGTAGCCTCATAGACAGCAGCTTTAGCCACCTTTGTGCCTCTGATTAGCTGTTTTTCCTCCACCAACTCTGTCACCACCAATAAATAAATAAGCATTTTGAAGTCAGAGGTTAACATTTAGACAACCTTTAGAATTATTTTCATTAACTTGGGTCCTTGTTTTGGTAGGGTAATCTTTCTTGGCTACTGTTTCTTTTCTAGCTCAAAGAAAGTCTTTTCAGAGTGTCTTGCTTGCTCTCTGTTTTCTTCTGTTTTCAGTTGATAGAAGGATGTAGGCCTTTGACTGTTTTGGTAAATGAGAGTAAGACAAAAGCTGGGAATTTCCCAAGTATTAATAGTGAAAGAGAAACTTCCGGTGAGTCACTAATGATGGTGATGCTGCTGCTGTCAGGGTTCCCTGGCTGTTCTCTGCATCACCTTCTTCTCGTCCCTCTGCTGTGTTTGCAGTACATGGACTGGCCCTGCCTGGAGCCCAGCCCAGAGCATCTCTTCTGTGCTTATCTCCATCCAGTCCCTGATGACTGAAAATCCCTACCACAACGAGCCAGGCTTTGAACAGGTAAGGAGTCTTAGGCTATGTGTTGAGGCCTGCAATATCAGAGGCTATAGGTGCTCTGAGCTACCTCTTGAAAGTCTTTCTCTTTTTCTACTAGGGTAGCCCCACATAACACCAGTGTAGAAAAGAAAGGGAATTGACATGGATACTCTTTATTTGCAAGAATTACAGTAACAGCTGGGCATGGTAAAGCATGCTTTTGATCCCAGTACAAGGGTTGCAGAAGCCAGTAGATTGCTGAAGTGAAAGTAAGCAAGGTCTATGTAGCGATTTCTAGGCCAGGTAAGATTGTATAGTGACACCCTGACTAAAAAAAAAGAAAGAAGCCCGGTGTGGTGGCGCATGCCTTTAATCAAGTGTGTGTTGTGTGGTGTGCATGCATGCACATGTGCACATGGCATGGAAGCCAGAAGAGGTCACCTGGAGCTGAAATTGCAAGAGATTGTGAGTTGCTAGATATGATTGCTGGAATCCAGACTCTGGTCCTCTGCAAGAGCAGCACGTGCTCTTAACTAACCCCCTAGACTAGATTTCCTTGCTCCAGTCTTTCCCATTAGTGACAATCACAAATCACAGACCTGTGTCTTTCTCTAACTATCTATTATTTTGGAGATAGAAAGTGTACTATATTATTTGTGTAGTTAAAGGTGCTAGTCATGGATCAGGCGATGGTGGCGCACGCCTTTGATCCCTGTACTCAGGAGGCACAGGCAGGTGAATCTCTGAGTTCAAGGCCAGCCTGGTCTACCAAGCGAGTTCCAGGATAGCCAGGAATGTTACACAGAGAAACCCCGTCTTAATAAACAAAAAAGGGGGGGAGGGCTAGTCATTAGTAAAGGCAAGAATATTCTAATTAGCATTGCCAAAAAAAAAAAAGTCATAGGAAATGTACATTTACCAAAGGTAATGCTGTATGCCAGGCTGTGCTATTCCTATATATGTGTATTGTTTAATGTTTATGCTAACTATGAGGTAAAATAAATATTGTCCTAATTTTCAAGTAAGGTGATAGAGGATTTTGTTTTGTTTTTCAGATAATCTCGTGTAGTCCTTAACCTGTGTGTGTGTTATGCACATGCATGTTTGGGGTAGAACCCTATGGCCAAGTGCTGTATAACTTATTTACATATGTCTAGCCCCCAATTTTTGACTTTTTTTTTTTTTTTTTTTTTACTGAAACAGGGTTTCTCTGTGTAGCTTTGGAGCCTGTCCTAAAACTAGTTCTTGTAGACTAGGCTGGTCTCGAACTCACAGAGATCCACCAGCTTCTGCCTCCTGAGTGCTGGGTTTAAAGATATGCACCACCACTGCCCAGCAACTTTTGACTTCTTTTTTGTTTGGAAAGTTAAAAGGGTCTTTCTTTGATAAATTATAGTAGATAGTGATGGTGGGGTGGAGCCCTACAGACATTAAAAGGAATTAACCAGAAACCTCCAGCATTGTTCCCCACTTAATCCTTAACTTAATAGGCCTTTTATTGAGACCAGTCATTTGATCTATAATAGAATGGCTATTTTTATAGAGAAAGAGGTCAAGGGTCCGAGGCTTAGTTGTTTGTTTTGGACTAATGTTGAACCCTAGAGTCCAATTACCGAGGAGGAGTTGCCCCAAGAGACCATTTCTCACACCACAGCTGATGTAAAAACATGAGGATTTTATTAATTCTTTCATGACAGGGTCTTTCAGCATTCGAGGAGCCAGAAAGACCCTGAATAGCTGGTACAGGCTACTTTTAAAGGAAAAAACCACAGAAGCAAGGGGGGTGTTTGGGGGTTGTTCTTTAACTATTTCAATTGGCTTATTCAAAAGGGCTATTACCAATAGTTGGCTGGAGAGCAGTTGCCAGATCAGATGAGGTAAGGGGGAATATCTGAGGGTCGTTTTGCCCCCTTCCCAGGGACTGAGTCAAAACATCAGTAACTGAGTCAACACCTAAGGGTTATCTTGCTCCTTTTCAGGGAGATGGAAAGTTCCCAACATCTCAGTACGTGCAGTGCATATGTAGCTGTTAGGTCCTTGGTTCCCAGGGGGAGGGGGAAGCACCACTGCTGAGAGGCCTCAAAATTGGCCTCAGAGTTGTCAGAAATGGCTTTAGAGTTATTTTAGAGTTCTACACTATGATGGATAAGGTGTTTTTGGACTGTGTGTGTTTATTTGGGTCATGTACCCTGTACTAATCCTGAGTATCTTTGTACTAACTTTTCTCTTTGACTAAACGGGTACTATGGCATCTTTCAAATTACAGGAAAGACATCCAGGAGACAGCAAAAACTATAATGAATGTATCCGGCATGAGACCATCAGAGTTGCAGTCTGTGACATGATGGAGGGAAAGTGCCCCTGCCCTGAGCCCTTACGGTATGTGCCACTAAGTCCATCCATTTTAGAGACTCATTTGTACCTGTGAGAACCTTTGTATCAGAGTCTATTGTTAATAGATAGAGAAAAGTAGAGGGAGGATTGATTTATTGATTGATTGATTGATTGATTTTGGTGGTGAAGGGGGTTCAAGACAGGGTCTCTCTGTGTAACAGTCTTTTATGGAACTCACTTTGTAGACCAGGCTGGCCTTGAACTCACTGAGATCTGCCTGCCTCTCCCTTCTGAGTGCTGGTACTGGGATTAAAGGCGCTCGCCACTCTTTTTCTTTCTTCTTCTTTTCTTTTTTTAGATTTTATTTAGTTTTATGTGCATTGGTGTTTTGTCCACATTCATATCTGTGTGAGAGTGTTAGATTCCCTGAAACTGTAGTTACACACAGTTGTGAGCTGCCATGTGCAGCTCTGGAACCGTAGTCCTCTGGAAGAACACTCTTAACCACCCAACCATCTCTGCGACCCCCTTAATTCTTTCTTTTTTTTTTTTTTAAGATTTATTTATTTATTATGTATACAACATTCCTTCCATGTATGGTTGCATGCCATAAGAGGGCACCAGATCTCATTATAGATGGCTGTGAGCCGCCATGTGGTTGCTGGGAATTGAACTCAGGACCTCTGGAAGAGCAGTCAGTGCTCTTCACCTCTGAGCCATCTCTCCAGCCCCCCTCCCCCTTAATTCTTTCTTGTTTGCTTGTTTGCTTTAGATTTTTTTGAGACAGGGTCTCAGTATGTAGCTCTGGCTATCCTGGAACTCACTATGTAGATCAGACTGGTCTTAAACTCACAGAGATCTACATGCCTCTGTCTCCTGAGTTCTGGGATTGAAGGTGGTGTGTCCCTGAACCTACATATAACACTGAGCCCCAAACCAAAGCTGGGGGGGGGGAGTATGAAGTATGAAGGTAGTGTATATCTTCAGAGAGCCTCTGATTTGATGAAGGTGTGGAGAGAGAGCCCAATGAGGGTAAACTCCATTAAAACCAATTTCAGTGCCGGGGTGACACATCCCTGTAATCCCAGCCCTTGGGAGGCAGAGGCTGACGGATCTCTGTGAGTTTGAGGCCAGCCTGGTCTTCAGAGTTTCAGGACAGTCAAGGGTACACTGAGAAATCTCTCTCCAAAAAAAAAAAAAATTTCTGAATCCTAAAACTAGATGAACTTACAATAAAGTCAGTTCAAACTTCCTAAGAGGGAGGGAGGTGAGAGATAGAGAGAGAGAGAGGTATATGTGTGTACGCAAGTACTCTTGGATATCTTGGATACCAGAAGTCAGATCCCCTGGAACTAAAGTTACAGACAGTTATGAGCTGCTTTGTGTGTGACATGAACCCAGATCCTCTGGAAGAACAGCCAGTGCTCTTTTTTTTTTTTTTTAAAGATTGTCTACAATGTTCTGCCTGCATGACAGAAAGAGGGTACCAGATCTCATAAATGGTTGTGAGCTACCATGTGGTTGCTGGGAATTGAATTCAGGACCTCTGGAAAAGCAGCCAGTGCTCCTAACCTCTAAGTCATCTCTCCAACCCTGACAGCCAGTGATCTTTTTTTTTTTTTTTTTTTTTTGGTTTTTCAAGACAGGGTTCTCTGTAGCTTCAGAGCCTGTGCCAGAACTAGCTCTTGTAGACCAGGCTGGCCTCGAACTCTCAGAGATCACCTACCCCTGTCTCCCGAGTGCTGAGATTAGAAGTGTGTGCCACCACCACTCAGCTTCAGCCAGTGCTATTAAACACAGAGCCATTTCTAACCCCAAAGAGGGTGGGGTTCCCCCCCCACATTTTTATTTATTTATTTATCCACTTATTTATTTATTTGAGACAGCATCTTATGATGTAGATTTGGCTGGTCTTGAAATAGAAATCCCTGCCTTTGCTTCCCCAATTCTAGGATTAAAGGTATGTGCCACAATGTCCATCTTTCTTTGTTTTTCAATACAGGGTTTCTCTGTGTAACAGCCCTAGTTGTCCTGGAACTAGCTCTTGTAGACCAGGCTGGCCTCGAACTCACAGAGATCCACCTGTCTCTGCCTCCTGAGTGCTGGGATTAAAGGCGTGCACCACCACTGCCCAGCTCTCAATGTCCTTTTTTATTTTGAATTTTAATTATGTACATGTATGGTTTTTTGCCCATGGATAAGCACATGTGAGTGTGGTGTCCAGGCTAGAAGAGGGTGTCAGATACACTTGAGCTAGAGTTCAAGCAATGTGAACCACTTGATGTGGGTGCTGGGAAACCAACTCTGCTCCTCTGTAAGAGTAGAGTCCCTTAACTGCAGAGACATGTGCAATTTGGCATTAAGCTTAGGAAGTGTCTGGGCAGTGGTGGCGCACGTCTTTAATCCGAGCACTCAAGAGGCAGAGGCAGGTAGATCTATGTGAGTTTGAGACCAACCTGGTCTACAGAGACAGTTTCAGGATAGTTGGGAATACTCTTGGAAAAAAAGAAAACCAAAAGGAAAAACAAAAACAAACAAACAAAAAACCCAAAGATTAGGAAGTGACCTGTGCCTCACGTTTCTGACTTGTCTGTTCAATTCCCAGGGGAGTGATGGAGAAATCCTTCCTCGAGTATTATGACTTCTATGAGGTGGCCTGCAAAGATCGCCTGCATCTTCAAGGCCAGACTATGCAGGTAATATAGTGTTTTCTTGCTAATTCTTGAAGCCCGACACAGAACCTGAAGAGTTCCCCCTTCACCCAGGTTCCATCCACATCTCATAAAATGTCACAACTAAAGAATCCTTTGTCATTTGAGAAGCTGAAGCCCGCAAAAAAGACTGCTTTGCTTAAGAAAGTGTGTGGAGATGATTTCTAGACATAGCATAGTCATACTCAGTCAAGTTGGAACAATCTGTTCTGGAACATGCATTACAACCTTTCTTTCTAGTCTAGTACTTTCAGCTCTTCCAAGAACATACAGACTGCTGAGAACCTCAAAGATTATAGAGAATCACTGTTGGAATTCTGACCCTGACCCTAAGGGCTCACAGGGAACAGTGGTTTAGGGTAGCCTTAGGTGTGTAGTGTCATGTTGATTCCTACTCTAAAGGTGGTAATAAGTTCTCTGCTTGTCTGGGGAAATGTGTTCTGGCTTCATATAAGAATGGGCTCTGACCAGGCGGTGGTGGTGCACGCCTTTAATCCCAGCACTCAGGAGGCAGAGGCAGGTGCATCTCTGAGTTTGAGGCCAGCCTGGTCTACAGAGCAAGTTCCAGGACTGGCTCCAAAACTACTGGAAAACCCTATCTCTAACCCCCTCCTCCCCCAATAAAAAGAATAGACTCTAATGGGGCCAGTAGCATGCCTCAGAAGATAATGCAATTGGCACACAAACCTGGAGACCTGAAGTTATTTGTTTGTTTTTTAAATAATTTATTTAATTTTATGCACATTGGTGTAACAATGTCCCTGGAACTGAGTTACAGATAGTTGTGAGCTGCCATGTGGGTGCTGGGAGTATTTGAACCCTGGTCTTCTGGAAAGACAGTCAGCTCTTAAACCCTGAGCAATCTCGCCAGCCCCTGGAGACCTGAATTTAATCTGTGGAACCCATGTAAAGGTGAAAGAGAGAACTGATTCTACAAAGTTGCCCTTTGTCCTCTTTCTTCAATATTCATGCCATGGCATACACATACATATCGTGCTTATGATAATAATAATAAAATTTAAAAGCATGGGTTAGATCTGGTGGTCCATTTCTGTAATCCTGGTACTTGGGAAGCTTGGGCAGGAGAATTGCTATGAGTTAAGACTTCTTAGTAAGACCTTGATGTAATTTTTTTTTTTAGTGCAGATTAAGGAAAGGCCTTTATTTTATTTTATTTTTTTAAACAAGGTTTCATTTTGTTGCCCTGGCTGTCTAGAACTCTAAGTAGACCAGTCTTGCCTAGAACTAACAGAGATTGAACTTTCTGTGCTTCCCAAGTGCTAGGAAGGCGTGTACCACCACATCCAGTTTAAGAAGGGTTTGTTTTTACTAGAGAGGCAGAGGCAGGTGGATCTCCCGAGTTTTAGGCTAGCCTGGTCTACAAAACGAGTTCGAGCATAACCAAGGCAGAGAAACCTGTCTTGAAAATCCCTCACCTTTGTTTTAGCATAGAGAGTGTTTCTGACCTACTCGTAGACTCATCTGCTTGATTAAAAGATGGCAGTCCTGTCTTGGAGCGTCAGTTCAGTGGACTTGGGTTCCTTCCTGGTGGTCTTGCTTAGAAATGGGATGACTTGGATGGATGTGGCAGTACATATCTACAGTCTCAGTTACTGGAGAGATGGTGGGTGGTTACCTGTGTAGTTTAATGAGACTCTTTCTTCAAATAAAGGACTGAGGGTTTTAGCTTAGTGATAGAATTGCCTGGCATGAAGACGACCCTGGGTTCAAACTTCATAACCTCCAAAAGAAAGTAAAACTGGATTGGGATGAATTAGTTGACTAAGCTATCATGACTTTCTTCAACTCTTCTTGGGCTATTTCTGTTTGTGCAACACCTTTACAGTAGGTGTTTGTTTCTTAGTAGCTTCTCTGTCCACTTACCCGAAACAGGACTTGTTTCCCGTACTACTTTTTTTTTTAAAAAAAGATTTCTTTATTTATTATATATACAGTTTTCTGCCTACACACCAGAAGAGGGCACTAGATCTCATTACAGATGGTTGTAAGCTGCCATATGGTTGCTGGGAGTTGAACTAAAGACCTCTGGAAGAACAGTCAGTGCTCTTAACATCTAAACCATCTCTCCAGCCCCCCTCCCCTCCCCAAACTACTTTTTAGGGAACATTAGAGGAAGCCTGCCCAAGTCTTTTCTCCATGAGGAGATTTTGTCACTGGTACCTTTTAGCAATCACCAATGTTCAGGTTGTGAAGAAGTGTTCAGTGAGGTATGAGTGAGAGGAGCACTGGGGAGGTGGCGTGGGGGAAATGTTGCCAAGGATGAAAGAACATTTGAAGAACTGATAGTCCCAGAGTAAAGCTACAATCCCGCCTTGAAGACTATAACCCTCATGAATGAAAAAGGTGGGCTGCTCTTCCAAAGGTCCTTATTTCAATTCCCAGCAACCGCATGGTGGCTCACAACCATCTGTAATGAGGTCTGGTGTCCTCTTCTGGCCTGCAGGCATACACGCAGACAGAATATTGTATACATAATAAATAAAAAAAAATAAATAAATTTAAAAAAATTAAAGAAAAAGGTGGACCACTGATTCATTGACCATTACTGGCACCCAATGATAGCTGCTCTTAAGACTAATGTTCGGTTGAGGTTGTAGTTGGTTGAGGATGCAGTTCATTGGTAATGCACTTGCATAGAATGTACGGGACTTAGAGAATGAATCTTTATAACCACAAAAGAAACATGGAAGGAGTTTTTGGTTTTGTTTTGTTTTGTTAAAGAATTTTTTATGATGGATTTTAACTTTATTTTATGTGCAATGGTGCGAAGGTGTCAGATCGTCCTGGAACTGGATTTACAATCACTTATGAGCTGCCATGTAGGTGCTGGGAATTGAACCCAGGTCCTCTGGAACAGCAGTTGGTGCTCTTACTCACTGCGCCATCTCTTCAGCCTGGAGTTTTTGGTTTTTGTTTTTGAGTGTGGAGTTTATTGAGAGGAGGGTAAGGAAGGGAGAGAGAGAGAGAGAAAAGAGAAGAAGCGGAAGTTTCTGTGAGGAGTGCACAGAGGAGGAAATAGTGTAGTGTTTGTTTGTATGTGATTGCCATCCGCCATACAAAAAAAAGGGTCCCATTTGCTGCGATTAAATCCCCATATATCTTTTCTTTCTTTTTTTAATCCGAGACAGGGTTTCTCTATGTAATAGCCCTAGCAGTCCTGGAACTCACTGTGTAGACGAGGCTAGCCTTGAACTCAGAGATCTGCCTCCCAAATCCTGGTATTAAAAGTGTGTGCCACCATGTCCAGATCCATCTCTGAATTCATGGTCATTGTGGTTTACAAAATGAACTCCAGGTCAGCCAGAATACAGTGAGACTCAGTCTCAAGAAAAACTTAAGTGATCTTTGATCTAGAAGACACAAACTGAGATCAGGGCTAGATGACCCTGGAGCATTGCCCAGAAACCTGGATAGGTGTATAGGTCTCTGGGGAAGAGTACAGGTACTTATAAGGAAGTTTAGACCTACCTGTGACCTTAGAAAAGCAGAGTGTTGCTGGACTCTGGGTTGCCTTTAATCCCAGCAGGCAAAATCCCAGGAGGCAAAAACAGGTGGATCTCTGAGTTCAAGGCCAGCCTGGTCTACAAGAGCTAGTTCCAGGGCAGGACAGGCACCAAAGCTGTAGAGAAACCCTGTCTTGAAAAACAAAAACAAAAACAAAAAAAAAAAAAAGAAGAAAAGCAAAAAGAGGACAGAAGCATTGAGGACAGAAGATGGAGGAAGATTATTTTCTTGAGTTTTAGAGGTCAGCTGAAAGCACAGGCTCTCGGGGTTGGAGAGATGGGTGACTCAGCAGTTAAAAGCACTGACTATCCCTCCAGAGGACTAGTAACTCCAGCTCTAGGGGATCGGAATCCATCTTCTGAACTCCATGGGCGCTGCACATATGTGCTGTACAGACATGCATACATTCAGGCTATGCACTTGTACACATAAAATAAAAATAAAATCTCAAAACAAATTTAAAAAGAAAACACAAACCCACCTTCCAGTCTCCCTTGATACCTCATAGAATTTCCCCCATATCCTCTATTGGCTTACTTTTAGAGTGCAGACATACTTTAGTGTGAGCCGAAGCTAGACCTGTTTGGAGCAGTAATACATTTTCATGTGGACCCTGTGCTGCACTGTGCCATTCTCTGCCCCTTGCAATAGACTTGAATCTTACATCCCCTTGTCTTTTCCCCTACAGGACCCTTTTGGAGAGAAGCGGGGCCACTTTGACTACCAGTCCCTCTTGATGCGTCTGGGACTGATTCGGCAGAAAGTGCTGGAGAGGCTCCATAATGAGAATGCTGAAATGGACTCTGATAGCAGCTCATCTGGGACAGAGACAGACCTTCATGGGAGCCTGAGGGTCTAGACCCTGCTCCCTGCCCCTCCCCCAACTCGAAAGCCCGGCAGAGCCCCTCCCCTCACCCCAGGGACGGAGAGGCACTGTGCATCTCCCTTCAAAAGTGTCGGCATCCCACAAGATGGCAAGAAGCAAGCAAACTCAATCCCAGGGTGTGGGAGTGGGGCTGTTCCCAATCTGACCTCCTTGGTGCTGGAGCACCTGGGGCTATAGTCAATCCTGGATCAGGGCCAGGACACTTTTGCAAGAGTACCTGGAGTGGTGGCCTCTGGCAAAGCTAAACAACCAACACACCTCTCTGCAGGGCCAGCTAATTAGGGATAGGAGAAGACAGAAAATGAGAACCAAGAGGGAGCATGCCCAAGTGGTTTATAGGGATATCTGGGAGTTTGGGTGGGGTGCTGTCTGTGACACTTAAGCAGTCTGGTTGGTTATCTGTTTGTCTTCAGTCTTGAAGCAGGGCTTCCCAACTCCCTTTTCCTCCCTTACCCCATTATTTCCCATGGTCCAGCATAACTTTGTTTTTTCTAATTTATAGTCACTGTTCTAGACAGACCAAAGAGAAGAACAGTGGTGGGGTCTGGGCTGCTGATCAGTAAGCTTTACCTAGCACCTGAGCACCTTTCTCCCTCGCACCATTTCCTCAGCATTTTAGGTTACAGGTGGGGGGTAAGTCCCATTGGGACGGAGCCCAGGTCGCTGTGAAGCCTGCACAGGTGTCAGAGGAAGCTGCTTACTGTGTTCCCACAATCACTGATTTGAAAGGTTCCCAGCACAGGCAGCTGCAGCATATATGGGATTTGAGCCACTACATAAAATAGTCTCTTACGGATTTTCCTGAATACTAGTCAAGGAGGGTGGTTTTCTTGGGTAGAGCACGGGGAGACTGATACTAGTCCCTATTTTGTTCAGCTGTTTTGTATTTTCATTTTCATCCCAGTCTGTAGTTCTGTCCTCCCTTCAGCCCTCCCTCCCTCCCTCCCTCCCCATCCCCTGGGGCTTTGTGAGCATGGAGAGCCAATGGCAAGGGGGTTGCAGTGGGGACTCTGGAGACTCCTCCCTTTACCTCTCCCCTTGGTCACTGGCTCTGCTCCTTGTTTGAATTTAGCTACAGTGATCCTTCAGCTGGTTGAGTCAGAAAAACATGTTTTCAGTGGAGTGGGATCAGAGGAATCCATCCTTCCCAGTTTGATACAGTTTATACTTTTCAGGTTTGCTGTTCTGACTCCTAGTAGGTAGTTGGTGATCCATGTGGTGCAGGCCTCCTGCACTGTCCAGCCCTGAGGAATGCAGAGAACTACCTGCCCTGCCCGCTGCTATAAAGGTCTCTGCCTTGTGGATCATGGGACTCCCTAGAAGATACAGGGAGAAGATAGCGCACAAAGAGGGACCTCTTGGGAGGGCAGAAAGAAAACTGGACAGGGACAGTTCACTTGGGGAGCAGAAGTTTGTTTAGGCTACCTGGAGGCTGGGTCAGAGGTGGAGACTTGAAAAGGGACCCTGCTTCCAATTTCCCTCTTCCATTCCCAGAGCTAGTCCAGGGCCAAGAAGAATGACTTTGGTCTGTGGGTCCAGTGTTGTCTGTCATCCATTTAAGCGTTCCCACTTTCAAGTGACAATCTTCTCCTTGGCCCTGCCATGGGGCAGAGCATGTCTGGCATAGCAGCCTGACTTTTATGCCCTAATCTTAAGTTGAGGAAATATATGCACAGGAGTCAAAGAAATGTCTTTATATCTGACTGTACATAAATGAAGTTTTCTTTTCCTTTTTGGTGCAATAAAGTTTGTTTTGGCAGAATGAGGAAGCGCCTATGGGTGTGGGAGGGTTTGTGTAAAAACATGAAATCAGTGTTAACTATACATCAGCTGGGCCAAGAACTATAGGTGGGACACCTCAGTTTCTAGATGCTGAGGACTAGGGTTTCTGTGGGAAGGAGTATTTGTGTCTAGTTTTAGATTTGGAAGTGGAGAGGCTCTGTGTGCTGTGTCCAATGGATTCAAAAGTAGCTTTCATGACTGACTGACTGAGTATGTCCTATGAGGACAGTTTGAAGCTGCCCAGACTGTGGCAGCTGAAAGATGTCTCAGTGGAGAATCCACTGTATTTCAGTGTCTAGGTGTTGATCAAGCACTTTATAAATACTAGGCTATGAATCTGAGCCTCCATTGCCACCTCATTCGCTTGCTTTCTGAGGCAAGCTTTTCCTCTTGGTCATGAGTGTAGGAAATACCCAGTGCATATTATGCCCATCCAGCCTGTGCCATGAGGACAGTGATGGGGAAAGTGGGCTCTGAGGCTAGTAGAGCCAGACATTAGCTTTGCGACCTCTGGCATTCACTACCCCATGAATCATACCTGCTTACTGGAGGGTGCTTAAAGGCTGAATGGGCAGTGACAAACAAGTGTCAGGTAGGGACTAGCAATTCCCCACCTTGAGTCTATAGGAGCTGGTGAGGAATTTGAACAAAATGCAGCATTAACTGCACCCACAAACTGCACTGCCTGCTTTCCTCTACGGACTTCAGATCCTTCAGTCTGGTCTCAAACAGAAGACACTGAGCTAAGTCACAGTGACTTACTGTGAGAGCCTAGGTCCACAGGGCTAGAAAGGAATGAGGAAGTTTGCATTGGTGGAGTAGTAGTTTGAGCTATATTAAGGCCAGACACGAGGCACTGCTTCTTGGCCCGGCGCTGTGAGTTTGTTGGTGTCCTTTTGTGTGCTGTTACTCAGGTTATCTTACTGGATAAATGATAAATACTGTGGGGGGTGGAAGGCAAAGAAAAACTTGGGATGAATTTTTTTTATAAACAAAATTGTCCAGGTTTATTCACAGGTGTCCCCTTCTGGCCTGCTGCGGTTGTCCTCTCCACTCAGTCAAGGGAAGGCTTCTCTGGCCTCCTCAGCTGAGATCTCCTGGGAGTAGAGATCTGTGAAGAGAGCTGGCAGCCAGTAGTGGGCCTCCCCTGGAGCCTGCAGGTCCAGCCAGGCTAGGCCTTCCTTCAGCAGGTGTTCCTGGAGAGAAGAAGAGGGCTGATTTGAGAAGGATTATGGGTACCTCTGGAGAGCTAAGCAGCCCCCTCACCTACTTTAGCATATCCCTTCATTGTTCACACACCTAAATGGGAACAATGTTTCACTTTGGCCAAGATGTGGAAACAAAAATGGCACCAAGTATTTTAACAGCTGCAGAAAGGTGAAGCTGCAGTGTGATAAAAGATGGGAGAAGGCAGGGCTCCAGCAGCATGTGCTGTGTGCTGTCTCTCCAGCTCCCCAGAGCAAAGGTTTGTGGATGGCTTGATGATAATATGCAGGGAGCAAACGAGAGGGATCACACTTGAACTATAAGAGACAAGGTTCCTAAAATAAGCTATGTCCGGTATTGTTAGGCACATATTTTATGTTCTCTCCATTTTATAGATAGAAGGGCAGACAATTGCTGGGATATGGAAAAGGTATTCTAGCCTAGGTTTCACTAGTACGAGTCTGTATATACAAAATTATCCGTCATATAATATAAATTTTGTAATTACAGATAATTACCTTCAATGGTTACCAATTCTTGCTCTGTGCTATTATTTCCACTATATCACTGTCCTGACTGACCAACAGCTCCAGGTTTCATGTGTCCAGGAAAGGTAGTGGGTATCATTGGTCCCTTGGCAGCAAGTTTGCATATCAAGGTAAGAGGCCAGCTTCTCAGTGCTACCACAGAGATGCTGGGCTTCCTGCTAGTGCTAAAGTAGCAGGCTTCAAGGTAAGAGGAAACAAAGCAAAGCTGCTCTTGACCCTAGGGCCATCTCCTGTCACATACCAACACGTGCCGCGCTCGCTCCGTCTCCCACTTGAGACTGGCTTTGATTTCACTGACAGTCACGTACCCATTTTTCTGAAGGAAGGAGGGATAGAAACTGAATCAGTTAGAGTGCTCATTTCCTGGGGCCTAGCACCTGCAGAGAAGTAGGCTGTAACAAGCCTGAGTACACAAAGAATGGGAAAGTTGCCAGCAGAGAGAGGTGACTTTCAGGAGATAAGATGGAGAAAGACGGGTCCAAGGCACTAAGATCCCAAGTTACACCGTCATAGAGAACTCCAGAGTATGCCAAGAGAAGATTTCAGATGACTAACCAAGAAGGAACACGGATAATCATAAATTTCATCTAAATATTTAAATATGAAGCTCCTGCGCAACCTCACCCTACCCATCCTCCAACATTGAAAGCCCCTTGCTCATTATGTTTTATATTAAGAGTTAAAAATGAACACTTCAGGGACTAGAGAGATGGCTCAGTGGTTAAGAGCACTGACTGCTTTTCCAGAGGACCCAAGTTCAATTCCCAGCACCCACATGGCAGCTCACAACTGTCTGAAGATCCAGTTGCAGAGGATCTGATACCTTCACACCTATGCACATAAAATAAAGCTAAACAAACCATAAATATAAAAAAAATGAACACTTCAGGGCTGGAGAGATGGCTCAGTAATTAAGAACACTGGTTGTTATTCCAGATGGACCTAGGTTCAATTCCCAGCACCCACACGGCAGCTTACACCTGTAATTCCAGTTCCAGGGGACCCAATATACATGGCAAAACACCAATGCACATAAAATAAAAATAAATTTTAAAAAATGAATACATCTTTCCTACGTCATGGAGATGAGGATGATGGGGGATGGTTATGCTTCAGGCATGCTGAGGAACTGAGTTGGGGGGCCAGCAAAGTTTTAAATTTGTGAGGAATCTACAAGCATTTGAGACATCAGAGGGTCTGTCTGCTCCAACTTGTCTGCACGACTGTCTGCCTGATTAGACTGAGCTCAGGGCAGAGACTGTACCAGCCTCTCTGTCCTGCAGCCTAGATAGGTGCTTTGCACTGTAGTTCTCAATGTCTGCTGAATGAGCACAAGACAGTCTCCACCAAAGACCTGAGCAATGGACAGGCGCACACTACTCCTGACTCCAGCCCAGGATGCCCCTCAGTGCTTTCTAAGGCACACCCTACCTCTGCCAGCTGCAGCACAACGGTGTGATCCATATTGAGCTCAGCTGGAACAGACTGAATGAGGTAAGTGCCGCCCACGGGGATGATGCCAAAGCCAGTGCCCAGCGCTTTCAGCTTCTTGATGGCCCTGATCAGGTCGTCTCTGGAGTGAGGAAGAGCAGCTTCAAGACCCTTGGCAGATCAGGCCTGACACTCAGATGTGTAAGGGAAACTGACCAAAGAGCCAACAGGCTGTACTGTGAACTACAGCAAATGAGAATGCTTGTCCATTTTAAACGGCAGCACCTGATTACTGCCACATTTTCTGATTGTAGTTGGAAACTCATGAAGAGAAAAAGAAAACTCCCAGAACATGTGCAGATCATACACAGGACACAAGGAGGTTCATGTCCCTTGCCAGAGAAAGGACATCAGTGGTTTGAAGGCCCTTCTGAGCCCCGAGGAACAGACTCAAATCTCTTTGAATACACTAGCTCACCCTCTTCTGAAAAAACTGATGTGCAAAGGGCATGGCTAATTGCCTCCTGCCTCTGCTTTCTTTTTCAATATTCCTGGTCTTCACTGTTATTTGAGGCAGGTCTCTTGGGAGCTACATCGAAAGCAGTCATTATTTATCTTTTCTTAGTTGGGTTCACACAGCTGGATTATCTAGGTCAATTTATGCCTCATCACCTGACCCTCAACTTGGTCCCCAGCCTGTTTAGGTGCCTGTATTAGTCTCCTTGACACCAAATAATCTCAACCCATTAAAAAATTTAACATAGCTGGGTGGTGGTGACATACGCCTTTAATCCCAGCACTAAGGAGGAAGAGGCTGGTGGATCTCTGTGAGTCTTTGAGTTTGAGGCCAGCCAGATCTACTGAGCAAGTTTCAGGACATCCAGGACAACACAGAGAAACCTTGGCTCGGGTAGAAAAAAAAAGTTTAATGTATACCAGGCACACATCTTTAACCTCAATACTACTAAGGCAGTAGCATGTACAGTTCTCTGAGTTTGAGACCAACCTGGTCTACATAGTGTGTCCCAGGCTACACAGAGAGACCCTGCCTCAAAAATAAAACAAAAAACAAAAAAAAAAAAAAACCCACCACACATAAGAAAAGAAAAAGGTTTTATGAAGCAAGGTATATAGTTCAAGTAATAGAGACCTTGCCTAGCATAAGGACCTGGGTTTGATCCACAATACCAAAAGCAGAAAAAAAGGAAGATATTTTTATCATACAGAAGATGGCGAATGGCTCTAAAGTTAGCCTCAATACCAGAGGACTAGGAGGAGAGTGTTGTGTGATCTTTAAAGTGTTCTTTCTAGCCCAGTGTGCTGCATTCCTGTAATCCCAACACTCAGGAGGTGGTGGGGCTGGAGAGACGGTTCCACAGTTAAGAGCTGTTCTTCCAGAGAACCTGGGTTCAAGTCCCAGCACGCAAGCATCTCTGACTCCAACTCTAGGGAATCTGAAACCACCTTATAGCCTCCTTGGGCACTGTACACACATAGTATACAGAATATAGACACAAACAGGCAAAAAAAAAAACAATAAAAACAAACCATACACATAAAATGTAAGGAAAACATGTGTAGGTAGGTAGGAGATCATGAGTTCAAGGCCACTCTGGGCTCCACAGTAAGATTCCAGGACAGCCTAGGCTACATAAAAACCCTTTCTTAAAAAAACTCTGTAATACCCCAAGGGATTGGAAGCAGGACCTACTGGCTGACGTCCTGAGCAAACTTGCCCCTTCCTTTCAACACCTGCTGATGTAGCTCCTCTAGAGTTATCAGACCTGTTGGAGAGGGAAGAAAGAAAATGAAAACACCACTTCAGATATATGGACCCTCTCCAATCAACCTCAAACAACAAATGTCACTCTAGTTCGCCAACCTCTCCTAAAGTAACAGGCCAGACCATAAAAGCGAGAACAGGGACCCTGTTTCCATAGGGAAGGCCCAGGAAAATCTGAAAAGGAAGGCAACAGATGAACACGGTGGCTTCCCCCAGGATTCCCTCACTCAGGAGACAAAGGTAGACCATGAGTTCCAGGCTGGCCTGGGCGAGGTAGTCAGGCAGACCTTGTCTCAAACAACAAAAAGATGGCACCACCAGATGGCCGATTTGATTGTTGTTTGGTTTGAAAAAAGTCTCTGCCTGGTAGCCCAGATGGGCCTCCAACTATGAAGACACAGTTGGCCTCCAACAACTCACAGTG